TACGCAAAGTTCCCCTGGCTGATATCTGTAAAGCAGCCACCTGGTCCTCTGAGCACACATTTGTTAAACACTATGCCCTTACTCAAGGCCCTCTATCTGATATACGTTTGGGCAGGGCTGTACTATCAACGGCGTCCCTACCTCCTTAAGATATACGGCTTTTAAGTCACCTGGAGTGGAGCACCCACAGGGACATCTCTCGAAGAAGAAGAGGAGGTTACTCACCCTATGCAGTAACTGACGTTCTTCGAGATGAGTGTCCCTGTGGGTGCTCCACTACCCACCCTCCTCCCCTCTACTTCGGAGTTGGGGTAGCCTCCGTTGTAGAGAAGGAACTGAGGAGATTGGCCACGCATGCGTACTATTATCCTAGACTCACAGCGGGGGGCAGCCTCTGCGCATGCGTGGCCAGTACAAGTACTGCTACGAAAAATCTCCGAGCGAAGGCGCAGGGACGCACCAACACCTGGAGTGGAGCACCCACAGGGACACTCATCTCGAAGAACGTCAGTTACTGCACAGGGTGAGTAACCTCCTCATCTGAAGTAGTAATTGGAAATTTGTTCCTGCATTCTTTCTGGTTACTTAAAGAATTAACACTACAGTACATTTATTTTGAAGGCCATCTAATGTAAACATAGGCTTTCCTTGCAAGGACAGCCTATGTTTTTACTGTTGTACCCTGAACCTTAAATGTGCGTATTGGTCACAGTTGTGCAGTGTGCAACATACTGCTGCCTTGTCATTCCACCACTATAATTTAGTTATTAAAATGACATAACAGTGTGGTTGACATGAGTTTCACTGTGTTCTACTTTAAAAGTTGTGCAGTTTTTCTTATTTGATTTTAAAAAATTAAAGCGTGGAGGTGTTGTCAAGTTCAAATGTATCAGTCTTGTGGTATCTATAGGCTGCTTATTTGACTGACAGGCCATCTGATGTATCAGATAAATGCATGGTGATGAAGTTTTCCACATAGTTCTATCAATAAATATATTAACAAAATAATCTATAGCAAGATTATCCTGCTCAGAAATAAGTTTTATATGTGCTCATCTTAAAATGAGGAACTTATAAAGTGCCTGTTAGAAAATTACTGTTCTAAAGTACTGTAGTGGGCACTGTCATTTTCTGAAAAATCATTTTTTAATATCTATATATAAAGATGTTTGTTTTTAAACATAATCTTATTTTAAAAAAAATAAATTTAAAACTCTGAAGTGGCTTGAAATATGAGGAGACCTCAATAGAGTTCATTTACCTATTAGAATATTTTCCCCTTAGTTTTTGTGAGCCAAAACGTATTATCTTTGCAACACAGTCCTTTTGGTCATGTTTGAAATACTTACATAATAGCATGCCTGTAGTGAAAGAGTGAGTACTCTAGAAAATGTTTGGCAGTATAGCAATACTAGCAAATCCTCCTGCTGTAGACGTAGCTTCTATCAGCAAATATGGGCGTTGGCTTTTATAACTTATACCAGTTCCCCAAATGAACTAGGTTATACTGACAACAGTTTTTTGCTGGTATATCTGTCTCTATGCTAGGGCTTTTGCCAATATAAAAAAATTATTAAAAAATCCCACTGCAAACCCATGTTATTACACTGACAAAAGTTTCTAGTGCATACCAGGCATGTGCTGCTTCAGTGGGCCAATTCTGTCGCTAATTTTAAGAACCCTCATCTTTTCTTTTACTTTATATATAGTTCACTGTTTTGTGTGATGGTTGGGTCTGGACTATTTTTGTTCCACGTGTCTGTTCTAGGTTTCTTGGTTTATGAGTTTCATTATTGTAGGTACATAGAAAGTTTGATGGTACTGGTTGCTCCAGAACATTACTAACACAACAAAGAAGATTGTAGATGTGCTGTGTCTGTAAAATGTCTGTAACAAACACACTTGCTGCTTTTTTGTCTTGGCGAAGGTCACTTTTTCCTTGATGATCTTTCTGTGTGAGTTTCACATTTAGGAGGAGACAGTTTTGAATAATCCTCTTTGGACCCTCCAGAGGAACTCTCATCAAAGTGATAGAAAAATTGCCATGGATCTAAGGGCAAAACACTAGATATAGCTTGCTCCTTAGGTTCAAAGGGATCTGAGAAAACTTCAAATCTTGGAATTACTTAAATGGTGCTTAAAGAGCCAGTGCCTGTGGATCCAGTGTATAGTGGATCCAGGAGGTATTCCAGAACAGATGTTGGTGCTAGAGCTTCATTTGGTATGATATAGTATTTGGTCCTTGACAGAGTAGTTTCTGGTCTGACATCTTTTCCTCCTCTGGCTAGGACCTAGGACCTGAGAGGTATCTGTGTCAGTCTCAGTTATAGCAGAAATAAGCCTCTACCAGGTCATTCTGGCATCCAGCATCCTGCAGGCTTCACAGCAGACTATTTCTAATTTTAGATGGATTTAGAGGGGTGCTCAAAGTAATAAAGTGTGTGTGTGTGTATGTGTATGTGTATGTGTCCCGGTCCCTGTACATGCTAGCCTTTTGCTGCTCTGGACTATTTTTGCTTTTGAACCATATGGTCTTTTTGATAGCAACCTCTTGCTTCTCACTAACAGATGGTAGGGGATGAATACAATGTGCTGTCTGAGTCAGTGCTTGGCAAAAATGAACATTGTTTGACTCAGAAAGGAGCTAATGATGGCTGTAAGTTATTAAAGATGAAAGTATTTGTAAGGTGGAACTTATCACAATTTTTTGGTAGCAGTTTTGTTCTTTACTATTATGCTTGAAGCTGCTAAAGCACACATTCTGAGAAATCAGCGTCAGACTTCATCATGGTTAATGGAGGAGGAGAAGGAGGAGGAGTTTGTGGGGAAAAATGACATCATGAGAGAAAGTGGCTTGGAGACTGAAGAACGCAGTAGGGAATACAGGAAATTGAGCAGATGGATTCAAAGGCAGACTTGATGAGATAAGAACAAATACATCAGAGCAAAATGAAAGGAGCTTGAGAGTTATAAAGAGAGTAAGAATATAAAAGATGAATATTCACAGTGGTCAGACTTCCCAATGAAAGATTTTCCCTGCAACAGAGTGTAATAGAAGATTATGATGGCAGAGTTCTTACTGAAGGTAATGATATCAAACATAGGTGGATGGATTATTGCGCCAGTCTCATCAGAGCCACTTACAATGCAGGACAACAGAAAAGAGAATACAGAGACCGAGCTATCAGTCTTGCAGGAGGAAGGGGTGCGTGCTATTATGAAAATGAAGCCTGTGATAGCACCTAAGTAGATAACGTAACTAGAATTGCTAAAAGTGGTTGGTGACAACTATATTGATCTTGTGGAAAATTTGCAACAATGCATGAATGACTAGAAATTGGCCAGACAACTGAATGAAGGGCATCTTTCTGCCCTACCAAAGAAAGAGGATATTACAGAGTGCAGTAACTAGCATACTGTCTCCCTGCTATGACGTGCAATTAAAGTGCTGATGTACATAATTCAGGATTGCATGAAGTGAATGATAGAAGCAGAGCTATCACCACAGCAAGCTGGTTTCAGAGAGGGATGAGGCACATGTGAACAAATTGCGAATATATGTCATTGAAAAATGCAGACCGTATAATCACCCATAGATTGTGTTTCATTGACTTCTCCAAAGTGTTTGATGTCATCTGACATGACCGTCTCTGGAGGATACTGGCAAACATGGGGATTACAAAGCATCTCATTGAACTCCTCATTAGTATCCAATTTCAGTAACAGACCATGATGTGAACAGCAGTGGGCGATAGTGAGTGGTTAAACTTTTTCATTGGGCAGCATGAGAGAAAAGAACGAACATGTATGGAGAATGTATTATGTGAGAAGCCCTGGAAGTTTTTGATAAAGAGGAAGGAGCTGGGATTTCTGTTGGTGGACACTTCTTAACTAACTTCAAGTATGATTCTCTTCGCTGCAACCATCAATGCAATGAACGTAGAAGTCAGTAAAAACTGCTAGTGAGAAATATGTATTATTTCTGAATGTGGTGAAAACTAAGTGGATTTATGTTGAAACAATAACAGGATGCAAGTGGACGTGACAATTTAATGGTCAAGTGGTAGAGGCAGCAGATAGGTGATCCCAGATAATTAGATTTATCTAATGAAGGAGTCTACACCAAAAAAAATTAGATCACCAGGGATGGCTTGCTCAGCCATGGTCTTCCTTACGAAAATGTGGAAAGACCACGGCATCTTGGAATGTACAAAGGTTCAACGGGTGAAAAGCTTAAGATTTCTCCATCACTACTTATGAGTGGAATCCTGGGGAGCAAATGCTGCTGACAAGAAGAAAACTGAAGCCTTTGAGATGTGGTGCTGGTGAAGACACTTGTATCTCCTGGATGGGAAAGAGAAAAAATACATTGGAAATATTATTGGAGAGAAATCAGCAAGTGCAAGCTTACATACTTGGGTCACAGCCAGTATATAGAGAGAATAATCTGGAGACATTTATCATGGAAGGAGTGGTGGTGGGTCATTTGTAGTAAGGAATGACCAGCATAGAGAGAAATAAATTGTGTGCGGCCTATCATTGGGAGATCAGTTGCTTAGTGTGCAAGTGAGTGATGGATCAAAAAGGCTTCCAAAATTTCTAAGATGTCACCAATATTCAGACAGGAATAAATGGATTTTACTTACCTACCTACCTACTTCTTAACAAGCTGGAGTTCATTGACTTGAGTAGCATGCTGATGTAACTTCTAGTATTGTTAATGTGCTCAGTACTTACTCAGTACTTGTTCTGTGGAGGCTGGCAAAGACTTATACATCACCATTTCTGTAGTCTTTATGGAATGAGAGGGAGAGAAATTGAATCAGTGTTCACTGGTATATCATATAAGATTCATCTTTATAAATTTTTATCTTTGGTTAATTTAAACAAAAACAATAACTGGAAAATCTTCCATCCAATGTCAAGGGGTTCCATGTCTCATGTCTTTCTTAGTAGTCATACGTTTCTTAGGAATGCATATTTGTTTTTGCCTATTTCAGTGATCGCTGTGGAGAAGACCCAAACCAGAAAGTAATCCATGGGGTTATTAACTCCTTTGTTCATGTTGAACAGTATAAGAAAAAATTCCCCCTAAAGGTAAAAATGCATGATTGCTTGGTGTATTTTTAATTGTGAATTTTAATACTTTAATACCTTGTATTATTTGTCCTTGATTAGTCTTTCTTGATTTAGTTTTATCAGGAAATTTTTGAGTGTCCTTTTCTGAATGAAACAGGGGAGTATTATAAACAAGAAGCTTCAAACTTATTGCAAGAGTCAAACTGCTCACAGTATATGGAAAAGGTAAGAAGCCCCACTTTGACTTGCATCTATTGTGTGTGTATATAAAATATACAGAACAAGTTAATTACTTTTTATACAATAGAATATGTTAAAACGTTAATTATTTTAGAAGGGAAAGATTTTTGTACTAATTTTCCTCCTGGTGGTACAACTACATGCACTCAAAATGAAAAATAAGTGGTTTTTATTTTGAAGACATGTTAGTTTCTACAATTCTGTCTCATTGCCTTGGCCAGTGATAACACACACATGGTGTACTTTTACAGAGTGAACATAGATATCAGAAGGATGGGAGATAGGCTTTCCAGAAACCTTGTTAAACAGCTTATGAAATGAATTGTATTTAAAGAACATAAATTGGCTGGCAAGATCAAAAATGAGGACTTTACTAGCTGTCTGCACTGCAGAAAGTTGTTCCATAATTATTTCCCCTTTTTACTTGTCTTCTACCTCTATCATGTTTATTTTATTACCTGTTTTGCTGTATCCATTTTTGTGCTTTCTTGTTGCTCTGGGGTGGTTATGAATTTTTGTTATGGGTAATCTAAGTAAATATTACTACCCAAGCCCTTTATATTGCTTTTTGGTTTCAAACTTTACAGACATTATACTCTGATTAGCTGATAAATGTGGATAATGTGTAATCCTAGATTTTAAAAATAACTTCAATTCAGCGAATCGCAATCCTAGTGTAGTAATTTTCAAGAGTGTAATAATGCCCAGGTTATGGGCCTGAGTTACAGGCAGGAAGTTAGTGTTGCCCAGAGAGAATGAGGAAGGAGGTGACTGTGAGGGAGGAGAGGAGCAGATTAATAGCTCAATTTTAGCCATGTAAACCTTCAGCTGATGGCTAGACATCCACGAGGAAATGTCAGAGAGATTCTGAGTTGGTAGTTGAATGTATTTTGTGTATGAAATTACCGAGATATAAGAGGGAGAAGAGAAGGGGACCAAGGACAGAGCTCTGTGGAACTCCCGCAGAAAGTTGGAAAGGGGATGAGGAGGAACCTCTGCAGAACATGCTGAAAGAGCAATAAGAGAGGTTGGATGAGAACCACGATAGAACAGGGTCACAGAAGCCAAAACAGAATAAATTGCAAGAGGAGAAGCATGGTCAGCAGTGTTAGATCTCATAAACTATAATGAGGTTTGGGCCTAGTCAGTAGTTGAGTCACCAATGCAAACAGGAATTAATGCAAGAAATAAAGTTAATGATTCAGTAGGTAGCACTCTTCTCTCTGAATTAGCATTGAACTAATGCCTCAGTGTCATGCACAAATTCAAGTTTGCCTTCTTCCTACTTAAATTCTCAAATCATATGCAATTCTCCTTTCCTCTCCTAAACTGTTCTGTAGTATTTATCTGTTCTATAGCTTGAAACTTTGCCTATAGGTTTTAGGTAGATTAAAAGATGAAGAAATGCGATGTCGGAAGTACTTACACCCCAGCTCATATGGTAAAGTAATTCATGAATGCCAGCAGCGAATGGTAGCTGATCACTTGCAGTTTCTGCATGCAGAATGCCATAATATCATCAGACAAGAGAAAAGAAGTGGTAAGTCTCACAAAATATTAAATGTGTTGTGTATGTTGTTTTACTTTGCAATTGATGATTTAAACAGATAGAACTCTTCCCTCTGCATTAGCATTGAACTAGTGCAGGGGTGGGCTAACCTTTTGGGCCGAGGGCCACATCTGGGTGGGGAAATTGTGTGCAGGGCAGGGGGTTGGGGTGTGGGAGGGGGTGCGGGGTATGTGAGGAGGCTCAGGGCAAGGGATTGGGGCAGAGGAGAGTGTGGGATGTATGAGGGGGCTCAGGGAAGGGGGTTGGGGTGCAGGAGGGGTGCAGAGTGTAGGAAGGGGCTCAGGGCAGGGGTGCAGGAGGGGTGCGGACTGCGGGAGGAGGCTCAGGGCAGGGGGTTGTTGGGCTGCGGCAGGGGGCTCAGGGCAGGGGGTTGTTGGGGTGCAGGAGGGGTCCGGGGTGCGGCAGGGGGCTCAGGGCAGGGGGTTGGGGTGCAGGAGGGGTCCGGGGTGCGGCAGGGGGCTCAGGGCAGGGGGTTGGGGTGCAGGAGGGGTGTGAAGTGTAGGCAGGAGGCTTAGAGCAGGGTGCAGTAGGGGTTCGGGCTCCGGCCCGGCGGCGCTTACCTAAAGCGGCGCCGGGATGGCAGCAGCGTGCACCGAGGCTAGGGCAGGCTCCCTGCATGCCTTCCCTGTCCCCGGCCCCGCGCCGCTCCAGGAAGCACTATGGCCCCTGGAGGAGAGGGGGCGTGGAGGGGTCTGTATGCGCTGCCCTTGCCGCACCTCCAGGTACCTCCCCCGAAGCTCCCATTGGCCGCAGTTCCCTGTTCCCAGCCAATGGGAGCTGCGGGGAGCGGTGCCTGGTGGCATGGGCAATGCACGGAGCCCTCTGCTCCCCTGCCTGGGGGCCGCAGGGAAGTGGTGCAGGCCACTTCTGAAGAGCGGCGTGGGGCCTGCAGCGCCACGGGGGGCAATCCCCTGGGCCGTATCCGGCCCGTAGGCCGTAGTTTGCCACCCCTGAACTAGTGCCTCAGTGTCCTGGACAAATTCCAATATTCTCCTTCCCTATCTGCCTACCCAGTCTCTGCTTAAAATAGCATAACTTGTAAGATTTAGTTCCCATATTACTTTTATTTATGCATTTCCAAACAATACTAGTTTCTCATGATTCCAGCTTTCTTTGGAAATGAGGAAGAACAAGTCTCAGATAACCCTACTGCTCCAAAGTGTTGGTACATCTGCCTTTTTACATGTGGCCGAGGAAATTCCCCGATCTCAAACTTTCCTAGACTGCAATCCACGGGTGCTTTCTACCCCGACCTTGGTCTTCTTGCTAAGCGGATAGCTACTGAAAGGACCCAGTGTGTCTCAAAGTAGTAAGCACCTTTCAAGGCATGGGAAAAATCCAAACTGCTTTTTTTTCTTGTAGCAGCCCACTAATAAAGTTTATCCTGCCTCTTACTATGTGCTCTTCAGATTATTTCTTCTTTGAGTGGCCTTTGCACATTTCCCACTATTGGGAGATGTACCTGTGTTGCTAGAATCTTGTAGAAGCAGTGTTTACTGCTAGTCAGATTCTTGTTCATCCAATGAAATATCTATTTCCTTGACACCTGATGGTGGTGTTAATTTAGGCTTCTAATTCTGTAAAGATGGGCTGGGAACTTAAGATGGCCTCACTACGTCCTGAGTGGATGCTGATGGATATTTATAAATAATTCTTCTGGAGATTTATTATATTCCTTGCTTGTTTATGTAAAGTAGGAGTTGCTGGACACATTCATTCTACTGTAAGTCTGTGTCTGGGATGCAGAAATATGAATTTCTATCTATTAATTTGTTTTGTGTTCCCTGACACTGGCTTGTAATAACTCACCAAGAGGAGAGAGGGATAAAGCAGCATTCCTATCACAAATATTCTGAGCTACACATTTTCAGGATTAAAGTTCAGTATTTTATATCACGTTTTCTTTAATCAAGTTTTTCTATTGGATGGTAGACTCCTTTTGCTGTCTCCTAGGAAACAATCACTTAGATATTTTAGAAGTTTTCTAAGCTGATGTGGAGCAAAGTGGGGAAAGTCTAGCAGAGGATGCCAGAGCTCTCTTGTCATTTGCCACCTGTTACCTGCTGACATGGAGCTCTAGGAAGATAGAAGATAGGAAATAAATTAGCCCAGTGGTGTTCTGCCTTTTTCATACTGGGGTACTGCCTCTTGTCACTCCACTCCTATTTGGAACTCTTTCAATTTAGCAATATGTGAAGTGCAGATTGGTTGTAACTCCATCAATTACCAGGTGAAAATTGATATGTGTCTCAACCTTCATCCTTCCTTTTCCTGCTTTTCGCTTTATCTTTAGTTCAATATTTAGATTATTTATTTCATAAGATTTTTCAAGGAAAAGGACCGTTTAATTTTAATTTTGGTAAAGATCCATGCAGATTTATGGTGCTATGTAAATATTAATTTAGAGTAGTGGATTTTTGAAATATATTGTGTAAAAAGTATGTCTTTATTGCAGACATGGCAAATATGTACACTCTGCTTCGTGCTGTGTCAAGTGGTTTACCTCATATGATTCAGGAACTACAAAACCATATCCATGATGAGGGCCTTAGAGCAACCAGCAATCTTTCTCAGGAAAATGTAAGTTTCCTGTGGCAGCTGAGTTAACCTATCTTATTACATTCCTGATGAAATCTTTTTCTTCCCTAGGCTGATTTAGTTTATTGCCTACAGACGAGTGGTGGCATTGAACAGAAACACCAGTATCATGTTGTAACTTATAAAACACCCTATTAACCATTGTTATTTTTTAAAATCTTGTTTTGTTAAATAGATTTGGAACTTTGTGCACAAATTGCAGTTTTTGATCAGCTCTCAGTTGTGTAATGCATCAATTCAGGTTTTTTAATTTCTTCTTGCTGGATCAACTTGATCAATATTTTTTTAATAATTGTGTAAAGTCGTCGTGGCAAATGGCCTTCTGCTGTTAAAAGGTGCTCTTGTTCTGCTAAATTTTGTTCCTAGACGGTTGCCAATGGGCTGTTTTGGTTCATTAGGAAACAAAAATATCACTTGGTTTGATTAAACGTTATTTATTTGTAAGTTTGGGCATCCTGTGCTAGTACCAGGAAAGTCTTTTTCACTTAGTTGCTGTATAGTAGCAGCTGTACAGCTGCATTGTCCCACATTTGCATCAGAATTTCTGAAAGTACTTTGACTATTCAGTTGTTCTGCTAAAATGTTTTTGTTAAACCTGATTTTATTAGTTCATTTTTTTTAAGTACTCGCTTCTTATATCCACATGTGGAACGTGCTTGTGGCACTGCTGTTGTAGAAAAGCAGGGCTTCCACCTGCAGTTCTGTTCACACGTTTATACAGCACTACTTTCAACTTGGCATCTAGATTTGATGTTCGCTTTTGGAGGGCAGTTCCTGTCATACTTTTTTAAATTAGAACTCTCAGCCCACTTTTCTAGAAGGTGGTACTGTTGTTTAGATTCTCTCAAGTGTCAATATGCAGATGCTACCTTGAAGAAGAAAGCTGACTTATTTTAATAACTGTGGTTTCTCAAACGTTGCATTTGCATATTCACATTATACTCTTCTTCAGAGTACTGCCCAAAGGTTTTAGGATTTAGAGCAGCTGCTCCTAAACTTTATAGGGTTAAACATAACTTGCTTAAAAAATTTGTTGTGAAGTGAACGGATGGAGCATCAAGCTCATATACCGGCATTGGTATGTGTATCACAGTTTGGGAACCCCTGGTTTAGAAGAGAGGCTTGGGGTTGACATCCACTTACAATCTTAATTCTGAAAGTTTGGTGCCACATTTCATGACATGTTTTGGTGCTTATGTCTCAAGGGCACATCTTTTCCAGGCCATTCCCAAAACTCAACAGTGCCATGGCTGCATCCTACTAGTGTGAATATGCAAGAGAAACTGTCTTAAAGACTCAGTTACTTGTTAGTGACTTTGATTTTTGGTGATAATCTTCCTCCAGAATAACCATGACAATCTATTTATATTAATTTTTTACATTTTTGTATAGCTATTGAATTTTTCAATAAACCTGTTTTCTGAATTGTGTATTTTTAGATGCCAACTCAGTTTGTGGAGTCAGTTTTGGAAGTACATAGTAAATTTGTTCAACTTATCAACACCGTTTTGAATGGTGACCAGCACTTTATGAGTGCCCTTGACAAGGTAATTTTTCACAATATAATAAACACTGCACTCTAGAATACGTAATCCTTTTTTTTCACCAGAGTGTAGTAGAGTTCGTTGTTCAACAATAAAACAATACCTTGGAGGGAACTCTCATGGAGTTCTCTTGTTTTAAAGCAAAGGAAAAAAAAAACCGAAGTAATTTAGTACTCACAAAAACAGATCCTGAGTATGAAGGGAACAGTCATGTTTTTTCCAACCATTGGTACTCAAATTCAACCTAAAAGGATGGACAACTTTCTCATCAAAAGAGCTCTGAAGATCTTGAAATGAAAATGGATCCCTTATCTCCAACTAATGTGAAAATAAAATATGTATATTTATAATATATTGTGTCTACTAAGCAACTTTTAAACAACATCAAAACTACCTTTTTTTCTTGGCAACAATGAATTAGGCTCTGATCACTGAAGTTGCCAGGTATGTTAAATAAACATTAATTTTGTATCTTATTGTTGGAAATTACTTGATCATACAGAGTTGTGTCGAAACTGTTTCATTGCTCAACGTGTGTAATTGCCCTGTTCTGATTACTTACCATTTTCAGGACCGAACTCTATTTAAAATCAAGTAAATGTTTTGGGAGATGAGGTTTATATAACTGTTTTGCAAAATGTATAGCCAGTTAAGGCATTTGTTCCTAGGTACTACAATTGGCACCTATAAATGTAATATAAGTTAGATTATAGTAGTAGTAGTTTATTTTCAAATAGCATGACTAGGCTCTCTCAAGATCAGGTGTCTGGTTTCCTCAAGAAAAGATGCATGGTATCTAATGCCTTCCACCAGTTGTTAATTTATTGGACCAGGATTATAATTTTGACATGTACAATATTTTAACTATTAAACAAAATTTTCTTCTCCCCTTTCACCAAACTCTGGACATCTTATGTCTTAGATTTTTTTTAGGGATAAAGATATAGATTAGGCTAAATATTGTATATTTGCAATATCACTTTTTCTATTTTGGGGGTGTATTTTGAGCTTCTAGGAGTTTTGTCCATTTTTGTCACATCATATATTTTGTTAATACAAGGCTTTTCAGGAGTTTGTAGCCATGTATCAGGATGTTGCTGAACCACATGCTGCACTGTGCAGAGGAGTTATAGGTTTGACCATATTCCTGTACAGATGAGTTTTCGCTTTAAGCTTCATAATGTAATATAGAAAGTTAATGGTTATCTGTGGTGATAAATATTGCCTATATCATATGTCCATTAAATGTTTGTTGAATTTTGAAGCTTAAAATCCCATATCTACATATACAGAGTATAGACAAGGTTCCTTCCAGAGAAGGCCTCTGTAACCCCTCTCCTCCAAGGACATCATGTGATTTAGCAATGTGCTGATGTTCAGCACTATGTCCCTGTGGAGCCTATAAGGAAAAAAAACAAACTCCTGGAAAACACTAAAAACACAGGAGTAGAGAGCTTCAGTGAAGCCCTTCTGCTTGATTTCTTTGGAAAAGAACTTGTGTCCCAAAAATCCTTGAATGTATATGTAATTCACAGGAACTGGTGTATGGTATTTTTTTGGTTTTGCATATACTCAAATTGTGTTGCAATTATTTCAGTAAGACTTAAATATGAACCACTCTTCAGAATACTAATGTTCACAACTCCGTTACTCTTCTCATCACTTATGCCCTGATTCCGAGTTATCATTAATTCCCTTTTCTTCTCCCTCACATTCAGACTCTCTCCAGATCTCATCTTTACCATAATGTTTCAAAGATCTGCCTCTTCCGCTTCTCCCCATAGTCCTTTAGATGCTGAGATACTTTTACAGTCTACAGTCTCCCCCTGAAGTTCAAATATATGCTACTAACTTAAGGCTTTGCCACTGCTTCTTGTATCTAATTTGCTCTCTCTTTTCACTCCCCACTGTATACTCCCAGGCCAAATTATGCACTATTCTGATTTCTCATCTTGCTCCCTTTGTGTTCTCCCGCGCTCATGTTTGTTCATCCTGCTCTCTATTTTTGGAACATCTTTCTTCCTCTTCACCTTGCATCCTCTCTCCTCCTTTGCTTTCCTAATCAAAACAATTCTGTGACCTTGCTTTCCATAGCTGACTTGCTCACCTGTGCTATTTACTCCTTCCCTTTGGTCCTTCCACAGTCTCACTTAATAAATATCACCGCTTACGATTTGCTCATCGTATACTGTTTCACATTGTGTGTCAATCATTATCTCCTTCTTCTTGTCCATTTTTCTGTTCTATGTTTGTCTTTTTTTAGGATAGTCTTTTCCCTGAAGAACTTGCAATGTCTTCATACCTCTCTATAAATCACCAAAGCAAAAGTTAAAGTATTTGTTAAAATTTTTCTTTATTGTGTATTTCTACATAGGCTCTAACATCAGTAGTAAACTATAGGGAACCCAAGTCAATCTGCAAAGCGCCTGAGCTGGTAAGTAACAAATATTGTGCTGTAATAGTCGTAGTAGTTTAAAACAAAAACCCAAACTCTCAAACCAGTCATTATTAACACATGGTGGTCACCAAATTAAAATAATTTTCACTTACTGAATCATCTTCAAAAATCTTTTTTTTAAAATAGGCATTTAACCTGTTTAACCCACACAAAATGTGCATGTTCTGGGCACACAATTTTACATGCTTTTGTTTCAAAATATGGCCCTTTGTCTCTTGTTTGTGTCATTTGTAATCTGAGCTCTGTCAGTCATGTTTTAACCCATATTTAATAGTTGCAAATACTTTCAAACACTGTTGTTCTCTAGCTTGACAAGTAGATTTTGTTTTGCTTTTTGTTTTTTTTACTTGAGCTGGCCAAGTATTGTGACAACTTGCTGAAGAAATCAGCCAAAGGAATGACAGAGAATGAAGTAGAAGATAAACTTACAAGTTTCATTACTGTTTTCAAATACATTGATGACAAAGACGTTTTCCAGAAGGTAACTTCCAATTTTTAGTAAATGTTAAACCAAAAATGTAATTTATCTAAAAAGCTTTACATTGGATGTTTGTGTTCACATTCTTTTTTAAAAAAATCCTCACAGCTGAGAAAATATTTTGCTTACTTTGTTTTGTTTCATACAGTTCTATGCCAGAATGTTGGCAAAACGATTAATTCATGGTTTATCTATGTCTATGGACTCTGAAGAAGCCATGATTAATAAACTAAAGGTAATATGAACTATTATTTCAAAATAATGTAAATAGCAGTAATCACTGTTGAAGCATGTCTCGTTTAAGAGGGGTCAGCAAACGGTGCCAAAATTAATTTAGCAATTGGTGCTGCTGTTGCCAGTAGGTGATATTAAAAATTGCAACATCATCTGTTCTGAATTCATGTACTGATACACACAAAACCCATTACCTGGAAAACCCCAAATATTATAAGTAGTTCCTTATTTTGGGAAGTTGTATAAAATGTGCCACTTGATCCATATTTCCATAATTGTAGTACCAGTCAGTGAGCAAAACTAACGCAGTCCATTCGAAATTTTCAGTTTTGTAAGTTAGTATTGGGCATGGACAAATAGAAATAAATTGTGTAGAAAAGCAACCCTCTTAAGACAGGTTATATAATTTTACATATGAAGGCAATATTGACTATAGATGACAGGGTATTAGCAATATAGAAATCTATAAATCAGTACTGTTTTGTGGATGTATTCATAATTTAATTTTTTTAAAATAAATGTGTCTAATATATTAAAATAATTACCTTACCTATGATATGTATTTAAATATTTCATTACAGCAAGCCTGTGGTTATGAGTTTACCAGCAAGCTCCATCGAATGTATACAGACATGAGCGTTAGTGCTGATCTCAACAATAAATTCAACAATTTTATCAAAAACCAGGATGCCATTATAGATTTGGGAATTAGTTTTCAGATATATGTTCTACAGGTACTAATGAATAAATTATTGCTGTTCAGTTGTTTATATTGGTTTCTTGTATTTCCATAACAAATAAACTATTATCTAAAATCTAACTAATATGAATATTTCTCAGACTGAAATTGACAACTTATAAATTTGATATCACTGTTTAACAATCCTGATGATATAAAACAGCCTATTATTCCTCGCTTTTTTGAAAGATAGTCTACTCTCTATACTGCATAATGGTAAGATAGAAACAAAGGCCTTAACAGTTTTCTTACCTAGAGCAAAGGCATCACAACAGTATGCATTTTAGTGAGTCATACAACTCCTTTTCTAACTCGTATGTCTTATATCTTGACTTGAACTATAGGACCATTTCTTAAGAGGAAGATTTTGTTTAGTGTATATGCTCCTTGGAGCTCATTTTAATATGTTTAACATGTTGGAATGCTAATTTTTTTTCTCCCCCACCCTCCCCCCCTCCAGGCTGGCGCATGGCCTCTAACTCAGGCTCCTTCATCAACATTTGCAATTCCTCAGGAACTGGAAAAAAGTGTACAGATGGTAGGTTAGTAGTTTCTTGCAAATTTGTAGCAAATTTAATAATACTTCATTAAAATCTCAAACAAAAAGCTGATAATTGTTATTGTGAGGCCACTGTGTCCGTCAGATGTATACGTAAACCACGGTTATCCAAGCTCCAGTTATCTGAAATGTGAATGGGTTCCCCAGATGGAATTCTGATTTTTTGAAATTCCAAGTTTTCAAATTTTAGCTCTGCCCCTCTAGCTCTTCAAATAATTGAAATTTATAGGTACGTGCCTCTGAGCTCAACTACTGATTTCTTATATTCAAGGGGAAAAGATGATCTTTTCTAATGTCAAATCTTAACAGCACACATAAGTATCTTGTCCTGTGATTCAGAGGAGCCCTTGAAAACCAAGATTCTGACTGTTCTGCATGAAAGCTCTTCTTTCACTTTTCAGAACAGTATGGGTTTGCCCTGTGCTCCTTGCCTTTGTCCAAAAATCTCCATCCACCGCTATTGGCATTCAGAATGCTGTATGATTGCTTTTTGTCCTCCATCCTAGAAGTGGCATCATTTCAGAGGCCCTGTATTTTTATTACATTCTTGTATTCTAAATTCTAGTTACATGTACCCTGTATATATTTAAAATATACAAAATATCTATGTTGACCTCTGTCAACATGTATGTAGGTTGTGAAGCGCATTGGAAAGAAAGCATATATGAATGAAAAATATTTTGATGTTATCAGATGTACTGAATTCTATAGAAGTGTACACGTACACTTTCAGGATATAATCTTAAATTGATGTCTAATGGAAAACATCTATATTTGCTGTAAAGTGTCTTTTTGCTACTCAATAAAAGTGTTTTAAAGTGTTTTAATGCAATATTCCAATTTCAACTTTAGTGTATTAAGCAATATTAAATCTTGTAATACATCAAACAAGAAAATATTCTCATACACTCATTCCACCAATCCTGGCACTGCTGGGAAGTCCCACCCCATGGCTGTTATCACTGATGCAGTTCTCTCTAGAAGATTCTTGAAAGTGAATATACAGCCTTTTATTAGAAGGTGGCTCCTCAACATGCTCCTAGTTACACGGCTTCTGCAGCAGCTTTCTCCCTCAGACCTATTAGGAGGCCCCCTTTACTACTGTTATTAAATGGGAACATTTTTATGCTCTTCCTTTTGTGTCTTTCTTCCCTCACTGGCCTTAAGATCCACCAACAGAAATACCCACCCACAAAAGGTCTCCACTGTTAGCCAATGAAAGCAGCTTTGCTAGTCCACTCCTTCACCACTTGCACACATATTATGCTCCTTTTTCCTATGCTGTCAACAGCTATGCCTCAGCTTGCTAAACTAGCAACGCCCCCACTCAGCAATGATTCCAAAGATGTCCCATGAGGGCAAGACTAAGAAGGAGTCAAGTAGTCCCTACTCCACTTCTGGAATTCCTTCCTTTTTGATTCTCTTTTTAAATAATGGTCTGATTCCTTCTTCATTGCCTTGGGCTTCTGTCTACTCCCTTTTAGCATTGCCTTTCTTTTCCTCTTCCCAAGAATTTTTATTGTGCTCCAGGTTCTTGAGCCCCCATGTTCCCCAGATAGTACAGTGACAGGAATTGGATATATGAATTAATAGCTACCTTAGTTATGTTTTTGGGCAAAGGCAATGTTTTTCCCTATTTCCCAGGACTCTCCAGTGTAAGGTCCTGCCAGGATTCTTTTTAATTTCTGGACACTGTTCCTCTGGGTTTTCAAGGGCCTTCTCCTTTAGTACGCACCACACTTCTCCAGAGATTCAAAGGCAAAAATGTCTGGGGGGAAAAAGACTAAAACCTCAGAAGGTTGTAAGCTTTTGTGAATTAGATTCAGATATGAACTGAGCACCTTACCTTAGTTGGTGTCTTGTCATTAAAGGCTTGAAAATTTTCTTTTTTCCCTGTTTCCCCGGGCTTCTGAAAATAAAGCCAATAGGGATGCTACCTGAAGCATGTTGTCCACCCCTCGAGACCTTTTGATATTGAAAGCTTGAATCCATTTTCAAGGAATTAGGATTGCTATTCTACAGCCCATATTGTGGCTTTGATCTGTCTGGTTACTTCTAGAGCCTCATTGTCTTACCTAAAAGCCTTCAGTAAAATGTAGAAACCATACTGGGAAGGTAAAACGTTTCTTAAAGGTCTCTATGATGATATATGCTATTTGAGTTCTGTGCTGTATTCCACATATAAACAATATTTCAATTGACCATGATTCAAGCTCACTTCACAGGTGGTATGTTCTTTGGAGGAGATCCTATACATCACCATTGAGGAATCCTCAGATCTGAATGAGCTTGAGTTTCCTTGGGTGAACAAGGAAAAAATCCCAAAACCAGATTTAGGCAGATTTGCCTTTCACTCAAAGTATCTTTTCTCTCTTTTCAGAGCAGACCCAGAGGTTACTATTCTAGATGCTCTTTCCAGAAGTGCAGGCTTTCAAACCCCATGCTTCTGTCAAGCAACAATGAAGAGTGGTTGGCTCACACCCCACTTCTGCCCATCAAGGAGAGACTAAATCTATGTTCTTCGAGTGCTTGCACGTGTTCATTCCAATGTAGGGGTGTGTGTGCCCTGAGCACAGTTGCTGGAATATTTTTCCCTTAGTGGTATTCGTCAGGTTGGCTCTAGCACCCCCTGGTACTGTGTGCTAATAACGCCAGGTATAAGGGGCCCTGCTGAGCTCACGCCCTTCAGTTCCTTCTTACCACCCGTAATGGTTGCTGGAACTTCCCTCGTTGCTTCGGCAATCTTTTCAGGTGGTTTCCTCTCATTTGTTGCGTGTGTATATATAGTTATAGTAGCTGGTTAGTTTGAAAATAGTTTTAGTAATCTTTTGTAACCAAACACCTCTAGACTTATTGAAGAGGCTTGTCCACTCCCCGGTGACAAGGTATGCCTCCCTTGGTCACCAGACTTTAAGCCCTGCTCTTCCTGTAGCAAGTCGATGACCTTGAACGACCTGCACTCCAGTTGCCTAAAGTATTTAGGGGAAGCTCACAGGAAGGATCGCTGTCAGATCTGCAGGGAGTTCAAGCCCCGCACCCAGAAAGACCAGGCAACGAGACTGAAGGTCCTCCTGATGAAGGCAGCCCTGAGGCCAGCATCGGAGCCGCAATCAGACTCTGCACTGAGTACCTCTGAGTTGGTGTGGAGAGCGTCTCCCGCCAATATAGTCTCTCGGTACTGCTCCTCCTTGCCCAAGAAGAGGCACCACAAGTACTGAGACAAAAGTTGCTCCCTGATACCGAAAGGGAGCAGGCAAGGGGACAGGAATAGTGCGAGACTCATGTCATGCCGATCTCCCTCTCTGGCACTGCTGCAGCCCCCACCATCAGCACTGACACCGACTCTGGTTCCACATACCCCGTCGAGGGATGCACCATCCTCCAGCAGGCAGCATACCAGACAGTTTGCTGTACTGTCCACTCTGGAGGTGTATGTGGCAGCTAGGGACTTGCTCATGCTGCCGGTACCAGGATCCCCTGACATCCAGGACTCAGTGTTGTCGAGTGCAAAGAGCCTCCCCCAGCCTCCAGATGGCACTGAGACCACTCTCCAGGGGTAAACCCCCTCTACTTGCGTCACCCTGGGTGTCCCCACAGAACTGCTCACTGGCACCGGGAGGATCTGCACCTCCATGGTCCCCTCATCTTCCTCATCACGGTCGGAGGTGAGGTCCTATTTTTCCCACTGCTGGGACCGCCCATGCTACTCCCTGCGCCAGTCCTACAATTACTGGGCCATCTAGTGCAGTGGTGTCTCCAAACACATGGACAATGGGGACAGGCACCGATGCAGTAGCCTTTTTGGAACCTATTGGGGTTTCTGCCAGGCCAGGGCACCATCTCAAGGCATTCTTATTCGGTAGCCTCAGAGGGTAGGGCACCTCTGATTCCGTGCTGCAAGACACCAGACCTGGACTCTGCTGTTGAGCCCAATACTGAGCCCGGTACCAAGCTGCTGGAGCATGTCCCTCAGGTCACTGCTGACACAGAGGAAAGAGCAAAGTCCTTACCCGCCTCCTCCTCTTCTTCCCCAGATGAGGCGCTGGTGGCTACCAGGGTATCCCCACCCCAGGATGACCCCAAGGCCCACCAGGACTTATTAAAGCAGGTGGCCTTGAATTTGAGCATCCAGGCGGAGGTGGTGGCAGAGACCGCACATGGCCTTCTGGACATTTTGGCAGTGGCAGGCCCCTCCGGAGTGGCTCTTCCCCTTAATGAGGCAATCATGGAGCCCGTTAAGGCTCTCTGGCAGATCCCCGCCTCTCTCCCGCCAACAGCTAAACCGGTGGAGCAAAAATATTTTGTGCCTGCTAAGGGCTGCAAATTCCTATTCTCTCCCCCTTCCCCTGGGTCCTTAGTGGTGGTAGCTGCTAATGATACGGACCATCAAGGTCAAGCAGGGCACACACCTAAGGCGAAGGGTCCCAAAAAGCTGGACTTGTTTGGCAGGAAAGCCTGCTCCACAGGGAGAGTGCAGCTCTGCATAGTGAACCAGCAAGCCTTGCTAGGTCGCTATGTTTTTAACATGTGGGAAGCAATGCAAAAATTTAAGGACATGGTTCCCCAGGGTGCCAGGCAGGAGTTCTCTTCCCTTGTAGAAGAAAAGACAGTGGCCCGGGCCTCCCTGCAGGCAGCCTTGGACGCCGCCGATTCCGCAGCCAGATCAATGGCCAGAGCTGTCACTGTGTGCAGGAGCTTGTGGTTACAATCCTCTGGGTTTCCTCAGGAAGTGCAGCAGACGCTCCAGGACCTTCCATTTGAAGCAAACAGGTGCTAATTTGCAGATGCTTTATAGCCCTTACGACTATAAGGCAACTTTGAAATCCCTGGGCCTGTATTCACCTGCAGCATCTAGAAGACATTATAGGCCCCAGAGATCTGGGCTTTTCTTCTTTCAACTGCCCAGACTTCTCCAGAGGAGGAGAAAGAACAAGGCATTCATGCCGTTGCAGTCTGTCCCTTTGAAGCACCCTTCACTTCAGGATCCACTTACCCCTGTTTTTCCCAACAGTCTGTCCCATTTCCTGAGTGCCTGGAACCACATTACCTCAGACCTCTGGGTCCTAAATACAGAAGAATTCGGGTATACCTTCCGATTTTTGTCAACCCCACCTTCCCACCCACCCTCCCCGCCCCTCTCCAGGGACTCTTCTCACACACAACTATTGGATCAAGAAGTCCAATCCCTTCTTCGGATGGGGGCCGTGGAAGAAGTTCTGCATCAACTAAGAGGAAACGGGGTCTATTCCCGCTACTTCCTGATCCCAAAAGCCGGGGAGGGGCGGGTGGGGGGCGTCTCAGACTGATCCTAGCTCTGTGACAGCTCAACTACTATCTCAAGAAGTTGAAGTTCTGCATGGTCTCCTTGGCCTCCATCATCCCTTCACTGGATCCAGGGGACTGTTATACCACCCTCAACTTGAAAGACACATACTTCCACATATCAATTTTCCAAGGACACAGAAGGTTTCTAAGATTTGTTATAAACCAGACCCATTACCAATTCATGGTTCTGCCATTTGGCCTATCAGCTCCCCTGTGGGTCTTCACCAAGTGTACTGCAGTAGTAGTGGCTTTTCTCAGAAGAAGGGGAGTTCACATTTTCCCGTATCTTGACGATTGACTGATCAAGGGTCGGGCCAGAACTCAGGGGGAGCCCGACATCGATCTTGTACAATCGACCTTCCCGGCTTTGGGACTATTAATAAATGACCAGAAGTATATTTTTATCCCCATTGAAAGAATAGAGTTCATCGGGGCAGTTCTTGACTCTTTGCAGGCAAAGGCCCTGCTTCAGGAGAACCCCTTCTCAATTTTGATAAGCTTCCTTCAGGCTCATCCAATCATCTCACTACCAGGTGCACAGAACCAGCTCTCAGATCGCCTCAGCAGGTCCTTCTCCCCTCACTGAGTGGTCCCTTCTCCTGGATATCTCAATGGACATCTTCTAAAAGTGGGGTAGTTCCCATATACACTTGTTTGCACCCCATGACAACAGGAAATGCCAGCAGTTCTGCTCCCTGAGGGGACCCAGCCCTGGGTCTCTTACAGACGCCTTCCTGTTAGCATGAACGACTTACCTGTTCTATGCTTTCCCTCTTTCTCTCCCCCACTGTTAATTCACAAGGTTCTTTCGAAGATCAAGCAGGACCAAACACAAATCATCTTTATGGCCCAGACAGCACTGAGGTTCACCACCCTCATAAACCTTTCAGTGAAAGTCCCAATCCAGCTCCCACTGCACCCAGACTTAATCATACAGGACCATGGCCAGCTGCTCCACCTGAACCTCAGCTCTCTTCATTGACGGCCTGGAACCTTCATGGCTGAACCCTGAAGACCAGGCTTGCTCAGAGCAGGTTCGTAAAGTGCTACTGGGCAGCAGAAAACCTTCCACTTGGGCGACATACCTGGCGAAGTGGAAATGATTCCCCATCTGGTCTTCCAAGCCTGGTATTCTACCTATGCAGTCCTCAGTGCAGCTTGTTCTGGAATATCTCCTGTTTTTGAAGCAGCAAGCCCTAGCTTTTTCTTCAATCAAGGTCCACATGGCAGCTAATTCAGCCTTTCATCTGAAGGTCAACAGTAGGTCAGTTTTCTTTCACAAGATGGTAATTCGTTTTCTCAAAAGGATGGAGAGGGTGTTCCCTCAGATAAAGGAGCTGATATCCTCCCCCCGGGACCTAGACCTTGTCTCGTCAAAACTGACGAGCCCGCCCTTTGAGCCACTAGCAACATGCTCACTGTTGCACTTCGCTTGGAAGGTGGCCTTTTTGGTGGCCATTATGTCAGCCAGGAGAGTTTCAGAGATCCGAGTCCTCACCTCGGACCCCTGTATACAGTTTTCTTCAAATATAAAGCGAAGCTACACCTGCATCCAAAGTTCCTCCTCTCAATTCTGCTGCAACCAACCAATTTTCCTACCAGTATTCTATCTTTAGCTGCATGCAGATAGGGAGGAACGTCTCCATTCCTTGGATGTCAGATGAGCTCTGGCATTTTATATTCATAGGACCAAACTGTTCCGCAGATCACTGCAGTTCTTCATAGCTGTAGCAGAGAAAATGAAAGGGCTCCCCTCTCTGCTCAGAGGATTTTGTCTCAGAGCACATCATGTATGCGGGCATGTTATGACCTCGTGGGGGCTCCCCCTCTGCCGAACCTGACTGCTCATTCCACAAGGTCTCAGGCCTGTTCAGTGACTTTCCAGGATCAAGTTTCTATTCAGCATATCTGCAGGGCTGGGGCCTGGTCCTCAGTGCACACGTTCTCAGCACACTATGCCATCACTCAAGAAGCCAGAGATGAGGCCTACTTTGGTCACGCAGTGTTGCAGTCTGCTTGTCCTTAAGCTCTGAGCCCACCTCCAGTGCACCTGCCTGTGAGTCATCTACACTGGAATGGACATGTGCAAGCACTCGAAAACAAAACAGTTACTGACCTTTTGTAACTCTTGTTCTTTGAGATGTGTTGCACATGTTCATTCCAAGGCCCACCCACCATCCCCCATCTTGGAGTGGTTTGGGAAAAAGCAACTGAAGGGCGTGGGCTCAGCAGGGCCCATTATACCGGCGCTATGAGCACACGGCTCCAGGGGGCGCTAGAGCTGACCTAACAGATACCACCAAGGAAAAATTCTGGCAACTGTGTCAGGGCGTGTGCACACCTACATTGGAATGGACATGTGCAACACATCTCGAAGAACAGCAGTTACAAAAGGTCAGTAACTGTTTTGTTTTTTACTGGCCCAGATGAAAATCAGGACCAATGCTTTGTGATTGTCAAAGGGCTACATCATTGAATTTGTCTCCTTCTGACTAAATTCATTTCAGCCTCTCACGGGATACATTAAAGTTTACCTCCTTATTCCAGTCTATATGGCTCATTCTATTCATTTGTTTTGTTATTGATACTTACATTATTAGTACATTGTTTTGTCCTTTGATCTTTTCTTAGCTCTAAAAATCTTCTAAAAAATCCTGTTGATAATGGTGCCAGCTTCAGTGGGGGGGGGGGAAGGAATCCTTGTTTTCCATAGCTTGAACAACCTGCTTATGTGAGATCTCCTTTCTTCCAGATACTTATGGACAAGTGCTCTCTCTTCTTTCAGACCATGGGTTTATGGTGGACTATAAGAGCTCTCTTACTTTTCTGAGACATGGTCCTCCTAGGCACTCAACCTCACATTCACCTCAGCAAGGTGGTTCTCATAGATCAGAGGTCCCACAAACTAAAGAGTTCAGTCCAACCCGGTCATAACCATTTGTTAGATTCTATATCTTCTATGCATTCTGGTATCCTATCAACCCATCATTAATTCTCCCCCTCTCCAGGCTTTGTTTTGGTATGGGACTGCTAAGGAGAGACCATATACCTGCATACCACCATTCCAACACAAGTAATTCATTTCCTCAGGTGGTGGACTCTTCTCCCAAGAGCTTGCACTAAAGGAAGCCTGTTTCTGACGTAATCATGATCTTCATGAATGCAAGCTGAGAGGGGCTGGGTTAGTCAGCTGGGCTTCCTCATGTACCATGTGCAAGAAGGAAGTTCCGTACAGTATCAGCTGCTTGGAATTCTGGGCCACTAGGTTTTTCCTGAAGAAATTTGTTTTTCACTGGGAATCAGAATGGTCCTTGTGAAGTGCTGTAACTAGACAGCTATTACCTTCCCTATCAGACAAAGGCATTCAGCTTCTGAAGAAAGGTGCTTCATGAGGGTTCTGACATAGGGCTAAAGGAAGATAATAGACGATCAACTATGTATGGGAGTGTCTCTGGACTAATTGATGAACAGGCAGGCAGGTTTTCTTCAAGATCTTAGAGCTCTGGAACTCCCCAAAAATATACTTTATTTGCATCTTATAACAGCAGTTCTAATGTGTACTGGTTCAGGCACTGGGAGAAGGCAACCTGGAAAATAGACATCTTCTCCTTAAAGTGATCAAGCATGCTCTCCTATACATTCCTCCTCTTGGCAATGATGTTTAATAATGACAGAGAAGTCAGATTGGGCCAGACTGACCCAAGGCAAAATTGTCTTTTGTTGGTCTGTCTCAAGGAGAAGTCCCTGGAACCTGCTTAAATTCTTCCCATAGCCAAAAAACATCCTGACCATGGGGTCCAACCAAACTCCCGAACCTAAGCTTCTTGTCCCTTTCAGCTGGGAAACGAGAGGCTGAGACTTTTGGACTTTTGCTGGGCAGTATCCTGAAAGTAGATAAAATATTAGAACTAAGACTTACCAATGTATCTGATCCATATTTGAAGCCTGGCATCAGCTGTAACAAAAGCTCAGTCAAGGGACTGCCTTTATATTTATCTGTTTTTGAGAAAAGGTTCCAGCAAAATTTCAGGTTTAGACAGTGGCACAAGGAGCTTGGAGGATCTCTAAGGAAAAATCTACTGAAGTCTCACCCCTGTATTTCTAGATTTCTTCATGCAATCTAAAGGATCGGACTACCTTTGTGCTTTCCCATACACAGTTGGAAATGCAGTCTGGTTTTGCAGGCCTTGTTGCAACTTCTATTTGAGGAACTTCTGAGCTTTTTTGAGCTGTTAGGGAACTGCTAACTTTATCCAGAGCATCAAACTAACTTTTCTTGTTACAATTACCTTTAGCCCAGAGGAGAAATGAACTTGAAGATATATCTGTTAAGGAACTTCTCCTGCGGTCCATTCCTTACAAAAGGGGTCCTGTGAACCATTCTGGAATGTGTACTCCCTGTGAATTTAGTTTTTCATTTCAGTCAAGATATTTCGTTTCCTTCCTAGATCCCTCCCTCATTCTCTTCTTTACAATTTACTAATTCCCAGCAGTGCCAGGATTGGTGGATTGCATATGGTGTGAGAAATGGGACAATTTGTTCCTTACCTGTAAATTGGTTTTCTCATATATAACAATCCACCAATCCTTTATTCCCTTCTTAAAGTTACTGTTTGTTGTTGATAGGAAATTACTGTTAGATGTGGATGCTTAAGCTTTAGAAGAATCTACTGGTAATATGAAGTACCCACTGCCTATTTAGACTGGGAACTGGATTCCAAGAATCTTCTAGAGAGCCACCTCAGTTACAAGAGCCATGCTCAAGACTTCCCAGCAATGCCAAGATTGGCAAATTGTGTGTGTGTATATATATATATATATATATATAAGTGAAGACCAATTTACAGGTGAGGAAACAAAATTGTCCCATAATACTGGGAAGATACTATTAAGGACTTTTTTTAAAAAGGAAAAGAGGAAACATTCATTTTGTTCATTTCTAAGTGAACATCTTTGTACCCTTGGGCCTCTTGTCGTCTTGTGTATATTTTCTGTGTGTGGCTTTGTAATATGAGCATGAGAAATTTATATTGAAATGTCTTAAAATAGTTGCACCAAAAATCAGTTTCCAGAGCTCTCGATGTGACACCTTTCACAAGCACTAAAATTTATGTAAAAACATAAAGGAGGAAGACATGAACAAGATTATTACTGTGCTGAAGAATATTCTTCAACGATTTTTCAAGAGACCAATGATTTTAAGTGCTTCAGTTTTTGGGTGTCTAGTTTGATGTCCCTTAAAAAGGAGACTATTTTACAAGTGGTGGGTATTCAGCACTTCATGAAAATCAGACACCTTCAAAATTCAGTGAGGACATCCAGAAATTGAAGCACCCGCAGTCACTACTCATTTTTAATAATCTTGGCAATTAGATCTTGATAACTCCATTGTGGCAGGCCTGAGATCATATTACTCTCTATAAACATCAAAATAGTAGTGAAATTTGCTTGCACTTTAACCTTGCTTCCACAGAGACACCTCTGAAAACTGGGGTGGAGTGGGTGTGATTGCACTATCTGCACTTGGTGATGGTTAGTCCTGCTCAATTTGTCAGCCTACTAGAAAAAAATGAGGCCCTTACTTTTAATAAGCGCTAATCTGCTTACATAATGCCTTTGTTGGCTCATCAACAGTAAGCACATGTCTAGTAAAACACGATAGCGGCAAATGTAATGATATAAAATGTAAATAGTGAAGGAGAAGAGAGGAAACTGGATTGCCAAGTGTTTTTTGCTTTCCAGGAAAAAAAAAACCCTAAAAAGTAACCTATTTAAAAAGAGTTAGAACCAATTCTTTTTTATTACGTGTTTAAAAACTTTTGACAGGGTTCTCTAAATAACTTAAACATGTTAGTCATGTTTAGTCAAAATAGCCTAATACAAATACTCTTAAAAGTGCCTACTTCAGGAGGATGTAGGCTTCAGTTATGTTACGGAATTATTCAGAAATTCACTGTGCTCATATCTTGCTCTTCCTTTTTAATGCCTCTTATGGAAAATTGTAGAGTTCCTGTGCTTTGAAAATTAATTTTGGGACTTAGTTTAACTCTCTCTGGGATGTTGAAATTTAATTTTTAACTGTTTGCAAAGTGAAACAATACTAATATGATCCACACAGGCTGGCCAATGCAACAGTAAAGGGGAATTCAATCCACCTTTGATGCTTTTGAAGGACACTGTTTGCTTTTTAAGGGTCGTATATCTCTGTGGCTTGTTGGACCCCTGTTGTGAATAATAATGAGGGGATTATCTGATGGCCATGTTGCTACTAGACTTCGTCCTTTTTTTTT